ACTCCAAGAAACGTAGTGAGAACCTGTATCAAAAACAAACAAATAAATAAATAAAAGTAAAAAAATATATATATCTGGGGTTGTGGCTCAGTGGTTAAGTGTCCCTGGGTTCAATCCTTGTTAACTTGCCCCACTCCTCCCCAAAAAGATGTCTTAGCAACTAGGGCTTTGCTGTGAATAGAAGAGCCAATAGCCACATATTTTTATTGAGCACTTGAGATACGACTAGTCTTGATATGTGTTCTAAGACATCCAAGATAGTACTGATAAAGGATGTAGAATATCTCAATGTTTTTTACTAAATACATGTGAAGCTACACTATTTTGGACATATTGGATTAAACAAATTAATTTCACTCATTTTCTGTTTTTTAAAATTTGACTATTATCCCTTTCTGCCTCTATGGCACTCAGGAAAACTTGTGGCAAAATGGGGTAAAAAAAAAAAAAAAAGCAGCAGCAAAGCTGGGCATGGTGGTGTACTCATGTAATTCCAGGAGCTGGGGAGACAGAAGGGTTGCAAGTTTGCTAAGCAACTTAGTGGAGAGCCTGTCTCTAAATACAAAATAGGGCTGGGGATGTGGCTCAGAGCCCCAGAGTTCAATCCCCAGTACCTCCCCACTAACCCAAAAAAGCAGGTTCTGAAGTTCAACTTTTGACTGCACCCACCCCGTACAAGATGGAATCATAAACACTGCCATCTCGAGCAGTTTCTCTGAAAAAGAATCAAAATGAACAGAAAAGCTGGGAATCTTGGTGGAAGGGTTATAACCACTGAAAGCATCAAGAGCGAGATCATTATTACATCTGAGGTACTTAAAATATCTCACCAAAAGATTTGAGGAATAATCTATGTGACTGGAAGAGTGTAGTCACTAACAGCAGAGTTAACTAAGTTACTTTCAGATTAACCTGGATGAGAAAAGCGAAGATGAGAATATTTAACTTTAAACTTTCATCCGGAATATTTTGTATGAATTTTTGAATAAACTTGGGAACCAAAACAAAAAAATTAAAATATCAATTCTACACAGATGAATGGATATAAGACCCCCACAGATGAATGGATATAAGACAAGATGTAATGAAGCAGGCATGCTTTCTCATTACTTATGGGTGTGTGAAATAGAACTAGCAATTTAGCCATTTATATCAGGAATCCTGACATCCTCAAACAGTAGTCTCACTTTCAATCACCAAAAAAAAAAAAAACCAGAATAAAAAATTTTGTGCATGAAGTTATTCACTAAGCAGTTTCTAATACTAATGACAACTTAGAAACAAATGTCAAGCTCTGCAGGGGGCTATTAAATAAATTATTAAATATTATAGCCATTAAAATGTTTTTTTACAGGGGAATTTTTTAAAACAATGTGGTTATGTGCCAAATGAAGACAGGATGCAAAATTGCTCAGAGTGCAATCACAGTTGTAAAAATGAAAACAATGGAAAAAATTATATGTGCATGTTCATAGTTTGGAGGATCTAAAAATAATTGTCTTTTCAACTCATATTTACAATTTCTGTAAGAATGCATTAATTTCAACTTTTACAATTGTATGACCCATTAAAATTGCTACTGTTTACAGCAAGAAAAATCTAATGTTATCTGCTCATCATAGAATCTAGGTTTCTAACGTTAATAAAGTAAATCCATTTGGACTTTTTTAAAGGGTGATAATTTTCCCACTTTCATTAACACTCACAGCCAGAGGATAAGGTATGTGGAAAAGGTCAATGGACTCAAATTCTCCTTTGGTACTTCAATGTCAGAAATCAAATGCTTAGTTGAGCTGAAGAAGGATCAGTCTTTTAGAAAAAAATATGGTTCTATAAAATTTCTTAATGGTAATTTTTCTTTTAAATTAACTTTATGAGTGCAATAATAAAGGATTATTATAAAACTTTTAATCATTATAGGTATTTATAATGGAGACTATCCCCATGATAGTTTAGTATATATTTATAATTTTTTGGCTGAATATCTAATATTTTTAAAATTAAAATGACATCAATTCAACATTCTGTTAAGTTTTAGTTAGCTGTATATTTTAGATAGTTTTCCTTGATTTCTCTGTATCTGTTTCAATGATTTATAAGATTCCTTCTTTGGTATACTTTGGTTTAACTAATTACCTATTGCCAAGTTATTTTGTTCAATTCTTTATGATTGTCAACATTGAATATACATTTGCCTTTGATCACTTGTGCAACAAAAATGTCTAAAATGCTCATTTTATAACACATTGCTTTACATAAAAAATTATCAATTCTATCAAATATTCCCTTCTGATTCCTATAGCTTAATAGGGGTCTTTTAAAAAACACTCTCCCCTCCCACCATTATGTGTAATTATAATGCATCAATAAAAATATGGAAAGAAAATGAGCAGTTTCAGGAAAAAACAAAACAAAATCTTGCCCAGTTGAGAATAATTGTCAGAAAAACTCCTCCAGCTTGGGCAAAAAGTAGAGTTATGTCTTAATACTCAAAAAAGTAGAGAAATGTCTTAATCAGCATTTAGTCAGACACTGGCACATTTGTGTTATTTCCTGCCTGGACAGAGTGGAGTACTTTCTTACTACCCTGCTTCTCATATTCTTAGGGCCACTCTTATTTTATTGTTGTTTAAAACAACCCAGACATATACATGTGGCCCATCTCAAAATCTAAGAGGAATCACCATGAATTATATAACAATAATCAACTCCTCAAAGAATTTGTTATTAAAAGGCACAAAAGAAATAAACCAGTTGCAATAATGGAGTCCCGTATCTTTCACATACTCGTTTCCTAGGAGCAAATTCATACCATTTCCAAGTTGTTTAAACACATTTGCATTTGGTTAAACCTAAACCAGACCTTTCCAGTTGTTCTTGGTGGGTGTTATAAGAATCAGAGCAAGGACAGGGGCAGTGACACACACCTGTAATCCCAGTGACTTGTGTGACTAAGGCAGGATGATGACAAGTTTGAGGCTAGCCTCAGCAATTTAGCAAGGCTATCTCAAAACAAAACATAAAAAGGGCTGGAGTTATACCTCAATGATAAAACAGCCCCTGGGCCCAGGAAAACCAGAGAGGAAATAATCACAACATTTAAAATGGAAAGTTTTAGATTCATACTATTTTTGTTAAGTTATATTAAGAAAACTTTCAACAAAATCTGAGTCTAGAATTAGTCATGTTGTAGAAGATCCCATAAAATGATTAATTTGACTTCACAACCTGAATATTTACTTGTCTAATAGTTTTATGTACGGTCTTTTCTTGGTGTAATCCTCCTCTTAGTATTTTGAAACAGTGATTACATGTTTTATACTAAATAAGACATGAGAGTTCTGTGGTAAGTGGGATGCTTGGTCTCCTCATAGGGCCCAATTTACCAAGTAACACTGCTACTCTTTAATCCATAAGTCACTCTTTCAAAGCCTCAAATAAAAGTGACTATCACTTAGATGCTAAAGAGCCATGCCTAAATATGAAAGCATAACATTTTGATGCCTGTAGGGTGAACTTCAAGCAGGCATTCATTATTAAACCTTTGAAGTTTCAAGTGACATTCTCATCTGATATAATCTAGCCAATGATAAAACTGATTATGCTGCCCCACATCCATAAAACAATCATTCCAACCAAATAATCTGCTGCTAGTTAACAGCTAAAAAAAAATGAAGCTTGTTTAAACAGGTAATTTGAGCCAAACTTTATTTACTAATTTGGTACTGGGGCTTGAATCAAGAGGCTCTTTGCCAGAGCGCCAACCCCAGTCCTTAATTTTTTGAGACTGGGCCTTACTATATTGCAGGGGCTAAATTTGAACTTGAGATCTTTCTCAATCTCAAAAGTAGCTGGAATTATAAGGATGTGCTACTACACCTAATTTTAACAGATATTTAATACAAATAGTAAAGACTAATGGATGAGGTGGCAGATTAAAATACATATTTAAGAATTATAAGTTTTTTACTGAATGACACAATCATGAGTGTCCCTAGAAGCCAAATATTTTTAGTATGTTGGTGTTTTATTAAGACCTTTACCATGGGGTAGGTATAGAAGAGGGGTTCCTCAAGAAACATCACTCCAATTAAGTACTTTTCTTCTGGGGGGTGGACATTAAATTAAAAAAAATCCAGACCCCCCGCCCCCCGAAAACAAACAAACACACACCCTGGGGATTATTCAGTCTGAAGTAAGCCTCAGTAACTTACAAACAAAAAGGGCTGGGCATATAGTTCAGTGATACAACACCCTGGGTTCAATCACCAATACCAAAAAAAAAAAAAAAAAAGCTTTGGGTTTTCTAAGAATGGATGAAAACTTGTTAATTGTTTACATGGCAATACAATTTGCATGTCTGAACATTTTTTAGTGATGAGCACAGAAAAGAGCATAGAAGTATGTTCTATAACCAGGATCAACTTAAAATTTGCTCTCGATTATACTCAAAAGTCATCTGGGATTCACTAGACACTACTATTTAAGTTGAGCTTATGCAGGCTGGTTCATTTGTATTTTGTTTTCTTGTCTGATATCTGATTATTTTATGAACATTTCCTGCTGTGTATTAAAAGTTCATAAAAGATTTCCTATTAACTTCTGAGTAGACTTGATAATGTAACATTAACTGTTTAGGATACATTATCATTTCAGATATATAAACTAAGGTTCTGTAGTGACAGTAGCATTCACAACCTTAAGAAAATATTCAATTATTAACTACTAGAAAATATTCTTCCTTCATTTTGCTAATGAATAAAGTATCACGTTAAGTACAATTTAGCAACATCTGTACACATACCAGAAGCAAAGTAAAAGTAGCACTTAGCAGTTGTGAACAAAATGATTTACACTTAGGCCACAAATGATGTCGACTTTTCCTTTTAGGGAATATTAACAGAGAGGTAACTCTGGGTGGTGGGGAGTGTTCTTTACCTTTTTAAACTCAAAAAACCAGCATTTGTCCATGGAAATATGTACAATTATTGACACTTCAGTATTGTTGCACATGTACACTTGTTTCAAAAGGAGGTTTTACAAACTGATTTGTGCAACTTCCGAGTTTCTTTTCATTAAAAGCTGTTGCCTTATCCACATAAACTCTTCTAGGTAACAGCAACCTTATCTGTCAGTCTCCAAAATTATTAATACTATGGACAAAAAGCACTGTTAAGTCTGCATTCAAATAGACATGTCATATTAAATCTTACAAACTCAAAAAACATTTACACAAAATGGAAGAGACCAAATAATCTAAGTATAAAATTTACCCAAAATGTACATGCACCTTTGAAATAGAGGGTACAGGACAGAATGAGAGGCTGGTTCTCAATGTATACAGATAAATTCATTTTGAAACCGTGTCAATATATTACCAATTCAAAAAGAAAATAGCAGTTTGCATAACATCTATTATTACATTACTAGTAGACATTTGCCCATTTTTATAATTACTTGCTTCACTTCGTGCAGACTTTGCAAAGAAAACCTTACTGAAAATGATCCAAATCACCTGAAACAGTTTTACAGATCTTAACCTTTTCACCATGTAACTTGATGTGACCAACCTCATTAAATTTTCAAATATTCTTCTCTCCAAGTTCTAGAGATCATTACTTAATTGTAATACTGGGACAACAGCCCATACTACATACTAGGCAATTTTTAGTCCTCTTCACACTCCTAGAGCAAGTAGTTACAATCATTTAACCAATGAAGCAGCCAATGCAAACAATTTTACCCTGATGATATTCTGGTCCCAAGGTCCATAACCATAACCACTATACCCCACTGCCCTATCCTCATCAGATGCAAGGCTTACTGAATGGTTAGATTTACAAAAGGATTACAGCCCAGTGAAACAGCTAATTCATCCTAGCAAAGCTGAGTGCTAGAGGTACAAAGATTGTTTAAATAGGAAACAAGATAGTGTTGTTTTTAAAAAATCTGTGCACATTGCAAATACTGTCTGAACTGAGAGAAATATTTAGGTCTGAATCCAAGAGTCTTGGCAGAACTGAATCTACAAATCTTCCTTCTCCCTAGTGATGCTCTGACAAAAACCAATTCCTAAGTCCAAATGTTTCTTATAAAAAGTGATAATATTCATGACAATCTCTTGCTACTACTTTCACAAACTGATATAATTTGAAGACCCATTATCTCCCCATCTCCCACACACTACATTCAGACTTGAAAAAGATTTAAATTATATATTTTTTTGTTGACAATATGTAGGAGGGGATAGAGCCTCATTTTAAAATTGAAAAACTTTCTTTTCTAAATACCATAATTTCCAATTCTACTGTGATTCAGGTCTTCATACTGAGGGAGATACTACCTTCAAATCAACACATGGACTTCTACACACATCTTTCTTCTACTTAAAGCAGAAGTGGCAGCACACTAAGAGTTGACAAGATTGAAGGGTTAGTATTTCCATGCCTAACTGAAATGGTTTTGCTCTTGGTTTCTGTTGTTCCAGGGAGCAAAATTACATGTAACCATTATTTGTCCTTCTGTATTACCTGCAAAGACAAAGTTCATGGTCATCTTCTCTACTGCTTCTGTGAACAAAAAATTATGCCTTAAGTCACTGATTCAAGTACAACATGGATAACAAAAATAGGTGATAATTGAATTTCATTCCTTTCCAAGTTTTAAGATTGTTTTCGATCCTGAAGATTCAGATCTTCAGTAACAAATTGTCCATCATGTGCCATACTTGAAAATTTTTCAAATAACTCGTGATTCTCACTTGATAATCAAGTTCAAGAATGGCAACAGAATATAAATTTATAATACAGCCATGCAAAGTCTGTATATACAACTATAAAGTTGAATATGAAACATTTTCTATTTTCCCCTTTAGGATTCTAACTAAAGCTTAAAAACCCAATGAACAAGTGGAAGTTTCCCTCTGTACATGGCTTTTATTATTTACATAATACAATATAGCATCAATGCTGAAGAGCATGATTATGTGCAATACATAAATATGAACTATCTGTACACATCTGCAGATCTAACTCAGAACTAAGGTACATAAAATTAAAAGCAAAATTGAATGCTTTAAGAATAAAAGTAAAAACTAGGACCGAACACTGCAATAAATCAGAAGTAGTGCCTCGTGTACATACTTAACTATTTACAGATGGAAACAGGCATTACCACAACACTAATCTCTATGCTCATTTATATATAAAAACACAAGTTTCATACATCACAAAAAAACCTTCCATTATAACACAGAAGTGATATTACCAGACAAGCATCAGTGAAGTATACTGCCTTTTCTAGTTGTTATTGTACAATGCTGTAGATAATGCAGCCCATGCAATACACCCAAGAACACTAGAGTCCTACACCCAAGTACAATTAATATGATAAAGCAGCCCTCTGCAAGTGGTGCTGGATACCACTAAGAAGTCTACTGCAGCCATGTTGGTTATGATTTTCCATGCAGAAGGATACAGTTACATTAAGAACTGAAGTCTTTAAAAAGCTTTAAACATTCTTTCTTAAACCAAAACATTCAACAAAAGATGCACATGAAAAATTAACTGTTCGGATACCTTTGCAACTTAAAATTCAGATGCATGTTATTCAATAGAGCTGCTGTATATGAAAACCAAACAGTTTTAACTTCTTCTTGTAAACAAATTAATCCTAACGCAGTTCTGTGCTACATATTTTTAGTAATGAGAATAATGCAGGTATCTTCTGGTGCAGGCCAGCACAGTAAGCTTCAAAGATTACCTCAAGACCCAGTTGTTGGCTTGATGGTTTTACTTTTAACCGGCTGTGATGTTTACCTTTCACAGAATGTCTTATTTGACAGCTTTTATAAGACCAATTGAACCAGGCTTACATATGGCACCAAATACTGATTTCATGGGAAGATCTGATCCTCCTTACAGCATTCTTCCTGCTTCCAAAGAACATGTGAAAATTAAGAAGGTGAAGTTAAAACTATGACAGAAGTAGACTGCCAGTCCTTTTCTGGTGTACCATTTTTAAAAATATACAGGCACATAACACTAGCCAAAGATTATACCTTGATTACATTCCCAAAAGGCAGATAATGCTGCAAACATGCAGAGATTTCATTTATTTTGTTTGGCACATGGGAACTAAATTTTGTCCCTATTATTTGTGTATTTCAATTTGCTGTGCAGATTTTTATCCAATTTTATTCAGGGGAGGGCATATACATTTTGTAGGGCTGTATCTATCCAATTCTGCCTGTAACAAACACCCAAACATTCTAAAATATCAATTATAAGACAGACAAGTGTAAAGTAAAACTCTGGAGAACATCAAAGGAAAATGGCCATGCATCTGCTCTTTAATGTTTTCCTACGATATATTAAAATAAAAACAAAGTTTCAGTCTCTTCACAAGTAGTAATTTATATTCTCTGGATTTTTTCAGCCACAACAACTGGATTCTCTTTTCTGATTTTTGCTGCAGCTTCTGCTTTGTAATCATATGGACAGTTGTGCTTGTCAGAGTAACGGTGAAGTCCACAAAACAAATTTCCACATCGGCAGTCAAATCCTGTACAGATGAGAGGAAGCAGGATAACTTGGGAACTTGCAGCAATTAAAAAAAAAAAAAAGAGAGCCTCACTATAAAAAAGAAATCATATTTTCATTGCTTTACAACATGGAAGTCTGTCAAATCTTGATGCAGTCTATCAAATTTAAACTGTCAAAAAGCTTTAGCCTATTTTGATATGATGAGAAATTCAAACAACTACAATTATGTCTCAAAGGGCAACAGACTGTTAAAGAAATGTGCTTAAGCCAAATCCTATGAAGAAAATAAAATGGGTTATCTGTCAGTTAATTCTACAAGGTTCCTTCCATCAACTCCTATAGATATTACAGTGTAGAATTTATACAGGTTGACCTGAATTCAAAATATAGCCCTAGGTGCGCATGGCACACACTTATAATCCCAGACAAGATGATCAAAAGTTCAAGACCAGCCTCAGCAATTGAGCAATTCTGTCTCAAAAAGGGACGGGGATAAGGCTTAGTGATAAAGTGCTCCTAGGTTCAATCCTCAGGACCCTCCCTCCCAATCCCAAGCATATATCTACTTCTACTATACCATGTGGTAAATGGTAGTATTTCAAGTGAAAACTAGATAAAGTCAACCATAAATTCTGAGGTTTCAAGGAGACAAGAAAAAAAGCATTTCATACCTAGTTCAAAGTAGGCAGACATGTTAGTTCAGTTACCTTTTCCCTAAGAGTTACAAAGGAAAGTATCAAAAGTGATAAGTCTTTGTCAATCCAAAAGAGAAAAATAATTCAGAAGCCTGAAGGATAATAATAATCATAACATTAGGAAAACAGATGAAAATTAAACCCAATTTCTTAACTAATTAAAATCTTAACACTGCTGCGTCCTTCTTAGCCCACTATGGAAAACTTTCCCTGAAAGTCTTCACAGTGACCAAGAGCTCTTTAATTGCAGTCAGTAAAATATAGATTCTTAAGCGTTTGTCATACCTGTAAGGCCAACTTTCTTTCTACACATGAAACATCTGTTCTTCTTTGGTTTGGGTAACTCAGGAGCTTTTTCTTCACTTTGAGAAATACTGGGCTGAGAAACTGATGGACTGGGCTGAGTGACAACTGAAAAATAAGCATAAAAATTAAGACATCTCTCCAGAGACCACTGGCTGATAATGATCCAAGTCAAAAAGAAAAATATTTAAAAGGAGGACTAAGATTCATAGAATGTTTAAGAATCCTTTCTTAAAATCTTCCGCTTGAATGACAAAACTTCTTAAAGTCTAAGAATTTCCTGGGAATTCCTAGACAACTACTTGGCTCCTCTAAAATTTTATAAAATCACCAGTTAGGATATTCCTTTATCTCAGTCTTAACAAGTCAATACTAGAAAACAAAATACTAATTCTATTTTTTTGAAGACCTGGGGAGATTCTGCTTGTATGCTTAGTTTTTCTGTATTGCAATTTCCTAAACATGAACTTCTGAATTAGGGCAGCTGGAATTCATTACTTAGATAGAACTGCCAACTTCTAAGGTACCTGGCTATAAAACCATGTTGGTTTTTATGCTGATTACCTCAACAAATTTTGACAAAGCCCAAACCATTTATCCCGGAATCAAATTAGATCCAAAAATTTTAATGAAATCACTTTGTCATTTTCACAAGTCACATTGTTAGATCTGCAAACAATCTAGAAGTGCTTGTAAGGTTTTGATTTTAGAAAATTAAGGATTCTACTGGCAGAACAGGATTTTTTTTAGTGTTACTTTGAGTAGTGAGATATTATCTACAAAAGCCCCACCTTTTCTCCACCTCTAAAGCTTTAGATCACATTTATTGATAGAATTTATCACATAAAAAAATGCAGACTGCATTAAAGCACATAACTCCACTGGTTCTTTAAGACAAAAGACCAAAAAGTACTTCGTACATAAATCCAACTATACCTTAAACATTATAAATTTTTAAAGTTTTAATGTTGATCTAAGTTTAAGAATAGAAAAATCAATGTATATATGTAATGCTAAAATTACTGCCTATTCATTATTCTAGCACTACTGCTATTTGCCTATCCAAGCTTTTATAGCAGATTGGGTTAATGTGAACTTAAAACTGCCCCAACTTTTCATTTGCATTAGCACTATATCCCCACTGGAATTCATACTTAATACCTGACTTAGAAAATATTCTATCTACTACTATTTCTTAGTAAGCTACTATTACAACCTTAATATAATTCTGATGGTATGAGGGTAAACAGGAGTATGAGAATGGTGTCAGCCATTTCTCTGCCCCCACCTGAAAAAAGGAATAGTAAGTTCCTGAGATATATAAAGAAGGGGATAGAGGAAGAAAAGTGATACAGAAAGAACAAATAGTGAACCACAGTATGTCTCTCAAGTAATAATAGAAGTATGTATTAGCTACAGATCTAACCCCAAAACATGCTTCCAATGTCAGCAATTAAAAAACTAGTTTTTTTTTCCCAAAAGATGAAACTCCTTTCAAAGCATCAAATATATATTCACCTGCCATTTGATGGCCAAAATACTTGACTCTCACTTAAAAAAGAGACTGACAACAGTACAGATAAAACTGACTCCAATGTTAGCAAAAGCAAGCCTCCAAAGAAAATTACACAATCACTGACACAATTTTTTCAACAATTTACTTTTATATTGTATTCCATCACCATTTTACCGAGAAAGGATGAATTGACTTGAATGAACTTTGTGCACATAGCTAATTCTAACAATTCAGTCTTGCAACATTAGGGCACTTTTGGCTGTGCCTAAAAGCCTCAAAAGTCATGACCTGTTGAAACCCAAAATGCCCTTCCATACTGAGCTTTAAATTCCTACAAAATGAGACAGGGATCCTGTTCTTTTTACGTTTAGTATTCCATAGGTTCTTTCTTGAATGTTTTCTACAACATTGACAATATCAAGACTGAACAGTTATTGCTCTTGACCATAGAATTTTTCTCTATGGTCTTGAAAAGTTTATTAAAGTTTATTAAAGTTCTCAACATCCAGTCTCCAGATTATAATCTTGGTGATTTGTAGGCCTGGGGGCAATTAATGGAGAAGAGAGCAAAAAGTATAGCTGTTTTATACTTCAAGATACTTTAAAAGACAGTATCTTGAAGTATCTTCTTTATTTGGTCTCTACTTCATGGCTCTCCCTCCTCTTTGGTCCTTCAATGGGAAGGAGAATCCCGCCACCAACTTTCTCTTGTACTTCCAAATCCAGAACTGAACTCATATTAAACAAAAAGCATACCTGGCTCTGACACCTCTGTTTTCGGGGTAGTTATTTTGTCCTCTCTTGAAATGCTCATTTCTGTCATTTGCTGAGTTACAGGCAAGGCAGCCACA